GGAGAAATTCAAAGCGGCCGGTGTAGACAGCTGGCAAGTTTTTCCAGAAAAGCGGCTGATTTTCCAGAAAAACTGGCCAGACTAGACACAGCCAAAGTGTGGATGGGGAAGAGGGAGTTCTTTCAAAAGAAGAGGAAAGAGGAAAAAGCACAGGTGCTCTGGTGGCCGTTCTGCCCATAGTAATCACAGCTTATATGTGAGATAGCATCCATTCCGTGTGGACACTCTTTTGAAAAAGCAGATTGCTTTTTCGATGCACTTTGACAGTGTGGTCGTGCTCTTTCAGAAGTTTTTTTGGAAGATCTCTTCCGGAAAAGCTTCTTCTGAAAGAAGCCTGCAGTCTACATGTAGCCCCTGTGGTATGGGCTTGGAGGCCGTGCTACAAGAACGAGACCCTGCAGGGTATGCACATGTGTACTCCTACTGATGTGGTTTCACAGGCTGATGTCTCATCATCCACCCTCATTAGCAATAATTGCTGTGCACGGTGAGAACTCTGGAGCCGCCAGCTATCCAATGCGATACAACATTATTTGCTCAGGCGGGTGAGTCTTGGACCATCCTCTCTTGAAATGGTCAGTGATCCATTCAGAGATTTGTATCAAACAGACTTGGGATGCTGTAGGTGGCCCAAGCACATGGGACAGTCCAACCCTGCTACTCTGGTGTGTAGCCATACAATAAAACACCATCACCCCACCCCCTCCACAACCAGATTTGCCTGTGGGAGCAACATATGGATCCTACTTTTGCAGTCCAGGAACATCACCAATGCCCATTGGCTCATCTGAAAAACCATGAAAGATGACAACAGAGTGGTCTTGTCAACAATGGGGACATGACATCATCCTGATGCTAACTATGACAGCTCTTGTTGCCCCAGATCGCTCGGCCGTGTTTAACACCATGGGTGCTAGTCTTTAGAAAAATCTGACCATTAGTGGTTGTGACAGGGCACTTGCCCTGATCTGGCCCTTTAAGGGCAAAACCCCAGCCCTGAGTGAGGGCTGAGAGCAAAGCCCCAGCTGAGGCAGTTGTGGCTCATGAGGGCCCAGCTGGGGGCTATATAAAGAAGGACTCCTGGTAGGAGAGAGAGCTGACAGCTGCTGTGGAGAGAGGGCAGTAGGACCTGATTGCTAGGTAAGCAGGTGGCTTCCTGGAGGTGGAGCAGTGCTGGGGAAGGATGGCAGGGCTGGGGAAGCTCTCACCAAGCAAGCTCCTAGGCTGTAGGGCCTGAAGCAGCCAAGTTAGGCAAAGGCAGCAGGTCCACACCCCTTTGCCAGAGATGGGAGGCCATTATAGGCTGCAGTTTGCCCTAAGGCAGGGGCTCGATGAAGACTGGCAGTGGGTCACTGAGGCAAGGTTGGTAAAGGGGAGCTGGGTGTTCCCTGGGAGAAGAATTGGGTGCCCCCTGGGGGGGGTGGACCCTGGAGTGTGCAGTTGGGTAAACAACAACTCCTCCTTCTCCTCCTTCCCCCCCGCCCCCCAAAAGGGGCTTAGAGAGGCTGAGCTATGCCTACACTGGTGGGTTCTTGCACAAGAACGTGTCCATGCTGCCATGTGCTTTTGTGCAAGAGCATCCATGGCAGTGTGGATGCTCTCTTGTGCAAGAAAGCTCTGATGGCCACTTTAGCCAGAGGGTTTTCTTGCACAAGGAACCCCTGCCGTGCATCCACTCTGCCCTCTTCCATAAGAGGGCTTATACTTGTTAGAAAAGAGCATAGCTGTTGCGCAAGAATCCCTCTCTTCCGACCCTGTACTGTAA